TTTGTCCAATTCAGTGTCAATTTTACCTTTCAAAGCAAAAGGGACCCTTCTTGCTTTAATTCTAATAGGGTTGACAGAGGGGTCTAACTTCAGTGACCCAGGGGGTCCTTTGTACGTGCCCAGCTGTGGGCTGAAAACATCTGCAAATTCTTTGCAGACTTCTTGTAGATCTATTGTTTGCAAGCTATTGAGCCCTGTAACGTGTATTCCCAAGGCCTCAAACCAATCGAGTCCTATGAGACTCGTTCGTTCACCCCCTACTACTATTACTTCTAGTGGACCTCCAAAATCCTTATACTGTACGTTAAGGGTGGCCTCCCCCTTAACACACACTCTGGAGTTTTGAAAGTCTGTTAACACAATGTCGGAAGGCCTCAGCTTGGCCTGAAATCCGCTGCCAGAACAAATCTTCCTAAACGTGTGCATGGAAATGATTGAAAGTGTAGACCCCGTATCCAGTTCCATAGCCAATGGAACCCCTTGTAGCTTCACTTTAAGTGACAGCTTTTTCTTGATGGGCTTGTGTGTGCCTGTCCTATAAATGCTTCTTCGCGAAGCGCAGAAACCCACCCTGTTTTGGTTGGGGACCCTGGTACCTTTCAGGCGCAATTCTTCCCGAGGTTGTACCTTCTGATGGCCCAGACACACAGCTGCAATGTGTCCCTGTTTTCCGCATGCCCTGCAGATAGCGGAGTGGAATCTACAGTCGGTCCTCTTGTGGCGACCTCTACAACCGAGGCACTTGGGGAGAGCTGAAGAGCTTTCCTTCTGTTTTCCTTCCTTCATGGGGTAGAGACGGTCTACTTCATCGTCAGGATCCTCCTCTGGGTTCCTTTGGACTCCTTCCTGGTGCACAGACACAGCTTCTGGAGTGCTTCTGATCGGCCTCATGTTCTTGATGGCGCCGCCCGCTGCCTCTTCTGCGGTAACCTCTCTCAAGGCATCTTGGAATGATAAGTCTTCTTTAGCGAAAAGTCTCTGCTGCAATTCTCTATGCCTCAGTCCGCATACAAATCTGTCTCTCAGCCGTTCTTCTAGATCCTTGAACTCGCAGTTTTTAGCGGCTTTTCTTAGCGCAGCAATGTATTCTTTGGCTGATTCTCCGGGTCGCTGATCCCTCTGTTCGAAGGTGTGGCGCCACGCGATGATGGACAACTTTGGCTGGAAGTGTTCCTTTAGTAGTTTTTTGAGATCTGTGTAGTTAACAGATTCTAGAGGTGCAGGTGCTGCTATGTTTTCAGCGATTTCGAATGCATCTTGACCGCAAACGCACAGCAGGGTGGCAGCTTTTAAACTATCTTCTCTTACTTGGTTGACTTTAAGATAGTTTTCCACCCTGGCTACATAGGACTTCCATCTTTCCGGACGCGAGACGTCGAATTCTGAAAGTCTTCCAACTTTTGACATTTTTGTAGAAAAGGAAGGGTCTATCAGCCAGCCTACCCCCAATGCTCGCTGGATTGGCGGGCAGCTGCCGAGTCAACGCCGTTCCTACTGCTCAGGACTCTAGGGTAAGCTTACACCTGTCTTCAGTCGATGTAAGGCAATCCCACCTTCGTCGCCAGTGTTAAGTCCTTCGCGAAATGGCAATGACACGAGAAGCAGTTGTAGTTTTCAGGAACTCTTTATTTCTGTTCAGCATATTGGTTACAAGACGCCGACAACGCCCAAATCTCCTTGCTCCTTTTATAGGCGATTCCCGGGCCAAACTGCAACATTTGGCGCGCTCGCACCCGCGCATGCGCGCGAGTGCTGGCGACAGCCAGTCTGGTCCCGGGCAGCTTGCCCCTTCTAAATCCAGTCCTGGAGATTTCTTCTTCGCCAATAAATATGTGCATGTGATATAATTGCATCTGCATATATATTTCCATGTCTATATTTGAAGCTACACTTCAAAAAAAGGCACACAGGAGAATAAATGTATATCAGTTGAATTTAAAATTTGTTAACTTCAAATTAATCTTTCTCCCTCTGAATAACTAGTCTCTGCACATTTTTCTTCCTTCCAACAGAAACAATAAAAAGTAACAAATTGGATGAAGATGGTATAAAAGGAAGAATAGCTGCACTGGGAAGGGAAGGAAGGGAGGGAGGGAGAGGGAGAGGGGAAGGGGAAGGGGAAGGGGAAGGGACCCATGCTTCTGAGGAGAAAAAAAGAGACTATTTTCCTGGCAAACAGCCCTCCCATCTCCAGGCTTAATCTTCAAAAGCATCCTTGTTTTGCAGGAAGGAGGTCTGTAATCATTTCCACTAAGCCCATTCAAACTGAATGGGATGAATTCACAAATGTAAAATGATTAAGAGGCAACTATTTGAGGAAAGCATTTTATATTTCCATTAGGATAAATAGATATTTATTCATTGCTGAGCTGTTCAATATGCAGCTTGAAAACAGGGTTATTAAGCTGAGTCTCCAGTGTATCAGATATAGGGGAACAAATACTTCTAAGCTGCACCTGTGCATTGTGTACTGACAATGTTTGTAATTTAGTTGTAACTGAATGCAGTAAGTTTAAGCAAGCAGAAGAGGTTAACAGCCAGCACACCATTTACAGTAGCACATGATGCCATGATGTTCTTGCATGCTAATAAATAATGACATGTTATTTATTGAGAAGTTATTTATCATGGTGTTTATTATCATTTCCATATTCTTCTTCATGCATCTTGATGCTCTTCTTCTTCACCATTCAGTTCAATCCTCCTCAACCATTTATCCATGCTTATTTTTCCTCCTCCATTATGCTTCCATAGGCTGATAAATACTGGTAGTGATTTCCAATAGCTACATTGGACAACAAATTTTTTAAAAAATTTTGTTTCCTGAAAAATATTTGGTGACTATGATAGACCCCTTCAAACGGAACACAAATATAATTTCAGAATGACTGTATCAGGTAGGAATCTTAAGAAATATGAAATTAATTTTTAATGACTATAATGTATTTAATAGCATAATGTTTCCAACATGCTGCATGGGTTCAACAGAGATAAAAGTGGTTCTAATGCATCTCACTGCAGTGTCCAACAATGGTCAGCTAGCACTGATGGATTCCAATTGCCATAAATTCCATTTTTCTATTGTGGCAAAGTCTTTCACCATGTTTGTTATTGACTGCACCGAGATTTTCAAGAAAAATGTCCAAATGTGAATGCAGAAAATAAATCTTCAGTGACATGCTGCACTTCATGGCCTTGTATGCTGTAAGAAGTTTGTCAACCAGTTGTGGTTGTTGTAATTTTGTGGTTTGTAGTTGCCAAGAAAATTCTCAATAATGTCCTTTGAATGTTTTCCTGATGATTTTCTCTGACCCCCCATTAATAGATCTTCAAACCACTTGTCATTGATGATATATCTTATCCAAGGACCAACATAAATGTCTTCCTTAATCTGGGCATCAGTTATTTTTGGAAAGATTAGTCTTAAATAATGAAAATTTTCACCTTCTTCATCACTTTCACAAATTTTTTTATTAATCTGATTATTATTTGAAACAGATGCAAAAATATCTTTATCGGGTCAACAAATCTTTCATGTTCTACATTTTTCTGTCCTGGAGTGGCCATTTCTCTTTTGGGATGGCCATTTCTTTTCAATGTAACAACAGTACTTGGTATATCCAAGCTGCATTCAAAGCAGCAGGGCCACTACTTATAGATCTCCACAGATATTCCAGTTATATTTTTGTACTGAATGTGATTCAACAGCAGTTCCATGTTTTTGTATGTTTCTTTCATGTGTGCAGCATAGCCAATAGGTATTAAGAGTGTACATTGCCATTGTGTAAAAACAGAAAATTTCTATAAAATGGTATATGATAGGTTAAATACCTGGTTATTTTCATGATTAGCAGCCAAAAATCTATAAGATACATTCAAAAGTGTTCAGGAAGCAAAATCTGCAATGTCACATTGCTGCTATAATTATATTTGGGCTACTTACTTCAAACAACTTATCTATTTGCATTTATACGTGTATCTGATTTGAAGGATGCACTCTAATTGCCAGTAGAAACATGCAAGGCTGAGAAATTCCAAAATGAAGCCATGCAGGGCACGGCTTATGAGCAGTGTTCTCCAGTCTTGGCAACTTTACAATAGACTTCAATTCCCAGAATTCTGGCTGGGGAATTCTGGGCATTGAAGGTCATACATCAATTCCCAAGATTCAGAAAAACCTATTTAGAGGCTGGTTGAGAGAAACTCTAGCTCCAATGCAAAGCATTGGAATGTAATAGAACAGAACTCATATACATTAAATCCCTTTCATGTTGTGCAATGGGAAACAACTCTTTTTCTGGCCTCTTAATGCTTCAGCCATCTTCAATAATTAGAATTACTGTAGTGTTCCATCATTGGATACTCCAGTTGAACTTTGGGATAATTCTGCCCAATTCTTAAGGATTAAATGGAAACATACAAACACAGTCTTCAGAGAATCATATATCATAAAGATTATGATGCAGTTATATTTCATGAGCTAATAGCACTGTTCTTATTGATTACATTGATTTAATACATTTATTGCACTTAAGCATAGCAACCATGTCTTCTGCATTCATTTACAACTTGATTACATTGGCATATTTGGAATGTACCTTTTTATATCATCACATCTGTTTAATCATGCTAATGGTCCATCTGCTTTTCTTGTGTGATGATGATGCTGTGAAGACAAAAGTAAATTTTTAATGATGAGCAACCCATTTATTTCCTCCCTCAAGTGCTTGCTCTGCAGTTCATACTTTTTAAGTCTTGTGAGGAAATTTCTTATGTATTATATTCTTTATTTTCAGAGAAGGATATATTCAATTTTTCAGGAGTCCAGGTTTCACTTTTGAAGTCTCTTAGAAAAATCTGTGCTTGTCTTCAGATACTGTTTCAAAGTTGGCTACAGACAGTTTTCGAATACTTGCTATTACAAATGTGCAGCATTAAAGAACTCGTTTTGTTGTTACTGAAGAACCTGTATTTGTTGGTACTCTGAATTTCTTAGAGAAATGAGCTATTCTCTATGTGCATCAGCAAGGATTTTGCACGAGAACATCTCCTTCTATAGAGAATTGCGCTTAAATGATTCCTTCTCTGAGGATAACCCCTCTTTGAAAAGCCTGCAAGAATGGATTGTCTACCCTCCATATTTCAATCTGAAGATGTTTTTGATCCCACCAATAATTTGTCTTCTGGCAGCCATCCTGGTCATTCCTTTCATCTTATTTGTGATTTTTTCTCATGTCAACATACGTCAGGAAACAAGGTACCTTTTGTTGGGCAATGTTTTGCTTAGTGATTTGATGTATCTGCTGCTCTACACTGTGTCTGCGGTTTTCAGTATGTCCACCTTCAACCTCTCAAAAAGTGGTTGTATCATGCTGTTGTTTTTGCTAGCAATGACTTACTGTGGAGGCTTATTAACATCTGCGGCAATGGTGCTGGACACTTATTTGGCCATATTGTGGCCTTTGCATTATATTTCCATTCTGCCTTATTCCAGAGCAAAGAAACTGATTCTGTTCCTATGGATCTGCTCTGGGATTTTCCCTGGGATTGTTTTCTTAATACTACACATCACTCAAGACTCCGGGGAATGTCCAGTAGAAAACTGTTCTGTTCCAATTATACTGGCAATGACTTTACAAGGAAACAATGCCATGAAATTCTGCTACATACTCTCAGTGTCTTCCCTTTTTATCTGTCTGACCCTCATTCTTTGTGGTTACATGGTCTTGTATTTTAAAACAAAGCAATCAGGAATATGGAGAAGCATTTTCTCTCGAGCCAGTGTGACATTCCTAATGCATCATATTATCCTATTCTTTCATTTCTCTCCTCTTGTGGCTGTTGTAGTTGAGTCACTCCTTTATGTCAATGCTGTAATTGGGCCACAGACAGGAATTTGGGTGTCTATGATCGTTTGTAATGTCCTGATTACTTTGCCCAAGGCTTTGTTACCTTATCTGTGTGGGCTTCGATACAGAGAGATATCATCATCCCTCAAGTTCTGCATCAAATGGAAACGTTCTACAGTGGTAGCTCCTACTACATTTACCTGAGAAGAAACAAGGGCCTTAGAGTAACTGTGACCTAAAGCTGTGCTATGTATCTCATAAACTGAAATTATTCATCATTTTATTGATCTGTTGATTACATTATTTGTATTTTTTCCTAATGTGTTCTTAATATCAACATGATGCTATCGTACTAGATGATATTTAGGCTAATAATTTTATTGCTATGAGTGAAATGTTCTGATGCATGGGTTTACTCTTCAGATATGGATCTAAATCTGCTAATATGTACCAACCATATTCTCAGAGTGAACATCGGTACATTTGACTTTACAAATTCCAGAGTATGAATCTTTTCACTAAAAAAGGACTTAGTACTAATGTTTTGTACTATCCAAGTTTTGTTTTGTATAATACAGAGCCAGAATCTATCCTACATTTTTCTTGCCTTTCCCATTTTTTTCTTTCCTGGGAAAGAAATTTTTGATGGCAAAAATCCACATTCCATGGCAATGTATTTGAGTTTATTTATTGTTGAAGTGGTAGAGGCTGGAAACAGTTGATCCTTTTGTTTTATGCTATTATTTTTTCTATTTTTCTGATTGGAAAAAAAACTGCTTAGTAAAAGCATTTCCTTTATAACCTGTTTTCCTGGGATTTAATGGAAGTGTAGGAAGGTAGATCATTGGAGAAATGAAAAATAGGAATTCACATCTGCTCCTTCTAACTAAGTGTGTTCAAGAACACCATGGTTGGCCAATAAAGAATTCTGTGAAGTTCTCTTCTTTTATAGAAAATCTTGAAACAATTCAATAAGAATAGAACAAATGCAGGATAATTTTTCTGTATGAGATGAATTTTCTATATTTTATAAAATGAAAAGCAAGATTTGTCTGTATAGACTTTATTTGGGAATCCATGTTATGGAATTCCACAATGTATTGTTCTTTCCAGTTTCTCTGTCACATTCCACTTTAAGGAGCAGAGAATTTATTAGTCCAGTCTGGCAGGCTAACCCAGCCAACAGCAAGGTCTGAATTGATGTTGTTCCCCTTTTCCCAGATCCTGGCTCCTCTCAATAATGTGGATTATGCCTGCAGGTGTTTGATAGTTGAATAGGGGAAAAGATATCTTTGCTCCATACAGTTCCAGTTCAGGAAATATGAAGGTTGAAATCTAACACAGTTGGAAGCATCAGGTTGGGGGAAAACCAACCTAATTATCTCTGCTGTGGGAGAGGAAGAACTCAAGAATACAAGCTCTTTGATGCCTCCATCACTGGCTCAAATCGATAATGAAACTGTGTGGTAAAGAAAATAAACATTTAACAGTACATCTTGTAATCCTTTATGAGACAACTGTGTTTCCTTAGCAACATTTGGAGACTTTTTCTATCTAGGAGTGAATCAATAATGTTCTGTTGCTAGAGAAAGATAGGTTGCTAGCCAAATCTACCATGTATGTATGGATATAAACCAGATCCAGTCAGGCGCATCTATTGGAAAGACCCTTTCCCCTGACAATATGCTAAGAACAGCTTTAAAAGACATCCTTGAAATGAAGAATAGTAGCTAAGCAATATATTCTAACACAGTCCTCAATACTTATTTGGCAATTTTCATACAGTATGAGCTTTTCAATAATCCTATCTTTCACCTACTGAATATATTGCACCACATTTTTAAGCTAATGAATCACTTAATGATATCTCTAGTGCAAAGAGAATGAAAACAGAGGCAAAACTGTGAGATGGGACAAAGAGTTAGATTTACTGCATCTCTTTGGTACCATCTACTGAGGATCCAGATATTAGAAGCCAATATGTCTTTCTTTCTTAGTACCTTACCTGAGCAGGAAGGAGGAAAGTGAGAAAGAGAATAGCTTGAAACAATACATAGAAAATCTGCAAGTATCTCTAATGACCTTCTTAAAGTTCCTGAGGTAACAGCCAGCCAGGAGCAGTAATCAAGGAGGAATGGCAACAATGGTAGTAGCTCACCTTCCCTTCATCTCTCTGCATTACTGTCCCACTCAGGCTTCTACTGGAGTTTTTCCCTCAAGAATGTTCTCCATTTCAGAAGTTCCTGCGTCTCTGGGATTTCTGGACAGTCAGTTGGAAAAGACCTATGGAAGATTGGTTTGAACATGGTCTCTGCAGTGAGATTATTATATGCACAAAGATGGGAAAATATTGAAATACCCACAATAGAGAAATGGATTATGAAGATGATGGAAAGTGTGGAAATGACAAAATAACTTGTCTTTATTAAAGACTGGAAAACTCTTATGGACTTTTTGCTGAAAATGGAAAAAATAAACTGGTGGTTTATGGATTTGGTGATTAAAAAGAGTTGATTTTGAAAAGAAGGGAACTATGATGTAACTTCAAAAGAAGGAATAGAGATAATAAATTTGTAACTGTTGTGAAGAAGATAGGAAGTTATATGTATACTGAACTACATTTCATACTTTTCCTTTTTAATTCTACTTTATATCATTTCATGTATACCATTAATAAAAATTGTATATACAAAAAAGAAGTACCTACTCTTTGTCTCCCCCTTCCTTAATAGGGGTAGCACAGAGGAGGGTTTTTTTTTTTCTCATTTTCTTGGGAAGTTTCCTGCTTTTAGAAATCTCCCTATCATTTTCCACTGAGGTAATCTCTGTATTTCTCTTCAGTCATGCAGTTGTCTCCATGCTCCACTTAATTAAGTTCTTCTCTCCCTTAGATCAAAACTGCTAACCTTAATCCTACCATAGGGAAGGCACAATTATCATTGCAATGAAGTTCTTAAGACAGTTGTGTGGGGTGGAGATATCTGACAAGAAGCCAGACCTCAAAAAGTGATGGGGAGGGGATGCTTCCTGAAGACAGTTCTGCAGAGCACTTGTAGAATCTTTTGAATCAATTCAGTTGATCCTTAAAGAGATGCTGGTTGAAGTTTTTAGAGGAAAAAAGGAAATCTCCTGAGTGGTGGGAGACTGCAGTTGCAGGCATAGTTCAGTAGTCTTAGATAGTCAGGAACATCCATATCAAAGTGGAGGTCCGTGATCCAGGTTTTTACAACTGAATTCAGACAAGCTAATTAGATTGGATGGTAATTTACATAGCAACAAAATCAATTCTATAAAGCAGCATTCATTTTCTCGATTTCTTCATCCGGCTGTGGATGTTGGGCAAAGAATAAGTGGTTCTTAAGTAAACTGAAATAACAAGGAATAAATAATTTGCAGAGGAAATCAATAGGTTTTAAAAGAAAAAGTAATCATTAACTAACTTGCCCTGCCAGTATTGATGGGGGTGTGGTTTTCTCCCTGTTAATTCCTTGATTTGGATATTGTTTTCTGTTTCATTATCCCAATTCTTTCAGATGGTGGTTAAATAAAATCATCTTACTAAAAGAAACAATATGGAGGACTGTAAAAAGAAATTAAAAGGAGTTTTATTTTAAAAAAAATCTTAATAAAGGTACAGCTAGAAGAATGGTTTGGTTCTCAAGCAAAGCTTTCACGAAAGGTTACTTTATGTAACTTAATAGTGAACTCCAAAGAAGACATAGGAAAAAACATAAGCTATTTTGGATGAGATAAAAAGAAAAGAAGAAAAATTTAAGTTTCCAGAGAATATAAGTATTTCTCAACAAATTAACTTCTACAAGGACAATTATCTATGTTAACAGAAATGGAAATAAAAGTGAATGAAAACAAAAACAAAAAAGGTGGGTTTGCAAATAAACCAGAAAAGTGGTTGGCATACAAATTACAAAAAGAAAAAGAAAATAAAATGATCTTGAAATTACAAGAGGGAGACATGATAATAACAGATAATGTGGCTGTGCAAAAATTATTTCATCACTAGTATTCAAATTTATATAAAGGACAAGAAATTTTCCCGGAGAAAATAAATTAATATTTACATGAACTAGGTTTTCTGAGGATTACAGAGAAATAGAAATAGATTATGGTCTATTGTGGGCTAATGGGCTACAGTGTAACAGTAAGAGAAGTTTGTGAAACTATACAAAAAACTGAAATAGGAAAGGTGCCTGGATAAAATGGGTTACCAGTGCCTTACTATAAATGTTTTGAGGATGACCTTTCCAATCTTTACAAAATACAATGAACTCTATTTTAAAGAAGAGAAAGGGCTGGAAAAAGGATAATATAGCATTAATACCTAAAAAGAAACATGATTTGACTAACACTATCAGCCAATATCATTGTTGAATGAACACTATAAGTTGTTTGCAATGATTTTGGCTGAGAGGTTGAAAATAATTTTGCAAGAATTTATTCATGAGGATCAATGTGGGTTTTTACCTAAAGAACTATTAAAATGCAATATTAGAAACATTTTGGACATTTTGGAATATCTGGAGCAACATAATGAAAAACAAGCCACATTCATTTTATTGGATATAGGGAAGGCCTTTGATAATTTGGGCTGGACTTTCCTATTTAAAGTTTTGGAAGACATGGACTTTGGAAAGAATTTTATTAAATAGGTAAGATCAACTTCACAGAAAGTAAAAATAGTTATTAATGGAGATCTAGCAAAGCCCTATGAAATACAAAAAGGGTCAAGATGGGGATGGCTCTTGTCTTCTCTCCTGTCTAGTTTAGGTCTTGAGATATAAGACAAGATAATTTTTTGAATAAAGATTAGAAAAGAGACTTATAAGCTAAGGGTATTGCTAACTTTCCCATTAATGTTTTGGAGAATCAACTAAAGGGAATACTGTAGAAGCTGGGAAAAACTGATATATTAGCAGCTTGTAAGATTAACAAAGAGAAGATAAAGATATTAATAAAAACATGAAAATACAAACAGAATTGATGAAATAAATGGATTTTAAGATTGAAAAGAAAGTAATATATTTCGGTATCACCATGAGAATTATAAATTGTATGTTGTTTCAAAATAATTATGTTAAGACCTTGAAAGAAGATGAAAAGGACTTGTAAAAGTGGGAGAAACTGTCATTGCTGGAGATAAAGATGAATGTTTTGCCTAGAATTTATTTTTTGCTTCTGACTACCTG